AAGACCCAGCCCCACATGCCCCCTATTTCTGGAGTCGGCACCCTGGGAGGCCTCGTCTTTCCCAGGCAGCTGTGCCGTCTCCTCTCCAGCTTGGCTTGAGGTGCTTGGGAGAAGGACAGGGAGAGGAAGAGGCTTCGCATGATATTTCTATTTCTCAGGGAAAAGGAGAAGCGACAGCTGTTAGAGCAATGGTTTCCAAATGCTGGACTGGGGATGGGCTGCCTCTGCACCCTCTCAGCAGAAGCCTGTAAAAATGCAAGCTCTGGTGCCCCACAGCTGGAAATTCCGATGCAGGCCTGGGCTCTTTTTTAAAGTTGCTTAGGTGACAATGTTATGTACACCCAGGTTTGAACTTGTTTCTTTATTTTTTCATTCCGTCCGCAAATATTATTTATTGAATGCCTACTAGTGTCAGGCTCTGAACAAAAAGATATTTGCCTTTGCAGAACTTCAGTTCTAGAAGGGGAGATAATAAGCAACAACTTATTTTAAAAGATTAGAAGTTCCTTGGAGGAAAAAAAAATTTGAAAAAAAAGGGGGGGGGCTGGGCAGGGTAAGAGGGCTTGGGCGTCCCAGGGTGGGATGGATGAGTGGGTAGCAGTATTAAATTAGACAGTCTCAGGAACCTCACTGCGAAGATGAGATATGAGCCAGGAGTGAAGGGGTTGTAAGAGGGAGCCAGGCAGCTATCTGGTGGAAGAGCATTTCAGGCCAGAGGGAACAGCATATGCAAAAGCTCTGAGGCAGGAAAATGGCTGGCATGTAGGAGAAACAGCTGGAGGGGCATAAAGAGGCGAGTGATATGAGGGGAGGACAGAGATAGGAGGATTGGGATGGAGAGNCACTGGGAGGAGAGAGGAAAAAAGGTCCACCGCCAGCCGAGAGGCCCAGCCTCTACTCCTGCCTCTGCCTCAGGATAAACCACAGAGTCTGTGCAAGGCCCTCGTGTGGGAAATGGGGTTCGTCATGCTTGCCCTGACCACCCCATGGAGTGTTTGTGAAGACCTCCCCTTAGGGAGTGTACCCCGTAACAGTTTACCAGGTGCGCTCACCAGCGTCACCCCATTCCCTTACCCTGTGATGAAGGTGTCAAGCATGACACTTAACTCGGAACGGTCTCCCCAAGGAAAGCCACACGGCTCGTGTGGTATAGAGTGGGTGCTGAACCTAGATTTTAGTCTCCCAGGGCACTGCTCTTTTTTGCTTGAGCCCCGCTGCTTGTTGTATGTAAAGGCAATTTCTAAATGGTTGAAAGCTGGACAGAGGCATGGGATTTTTAGATGACTGCCGCTCAGCGGGCAGAACTATTTGGGAGAGGGGACGGTGTACCTAAACGGTGCCTCTGCTCAGTTTCTTCACACTGTCACACAGCAGCGTCCTGGGGGCCTCGGGCAGAGTTCAGGGTGATTGCTGACGTGGATAAGAACCCAGCCGCCAGAACCTGGACTTGAGCCCAAGTTCCTTGCTGTATTAACTTGGGGCAAGCTTTGCATCCTCTGACTTCAGTTTGCTCGTCTGTAAAATGGGAATGATAATGGCACCTTCCTTATATAGTCACCATGAGGATTAAATGCAATCCTTGGTATATAGATTTAGCACAGTGCTAGGTAGAGAGTAAGAGTCGGTCAGAATTAGCTGCTACTGTCGTTCGTTGTTATGATTCACAGGTAGGTACGGAACGCCCACTGTGTAACTGTTGAATTGAAGGCAAAGCTGAACAGCCCCACCTCGTTTCTGGCACCTTTGACAAATGCCAACTGACCCCGTGCCATAATTGAGAGAAAGGAACCCCAGATCGCTTTAAATCCCGATGAGGGAGTCGGCTGCTCTTTATCTCTCGGCTTTATTCCCTCTGCCAGCCCGTAGAATTGGAGCGAGAGAATAGGGTGAAGGGCCGGGCAGTGCAGTTTCAAAAGGGCTATAGAAACAAGTTGTTTTTTTCTCTGCTCTGTTTTCCTGACAAGCGAGGCCCCTCCCTACCCTTCTCTATCCCCCAGCCCTTTCCTTTTCACCTCTTACCACCTCCCTCACCCCCACTACCATCTTCTCCTCCAGTCCTTCTTGGCCATTTAATGAGCATGTTTATTCCCTTTGTCTGGCATTGCCATCGACCTTCTGTCGTCCAATGGCCCCTCCCCCCCCTCTCTGCCGTGACCTCTTCAAGCAACTTTCCCATGGAAGAAAGGAAGACCTGGGAGGGTGGGGGAAGTGGGATGGAGAGAAGGGTTTGGGGGGAACAAAAGATCCTGTGAATTATTCAGAGACACAAGCAGGGGGCTTCTAAAGAGAAGAGAGAGGGGGCTGTACAGCAGAGGGCGGGAGTTACCCCTCGGGCCCTCTCCTCCAGAATCGAGGCTCCTCTATCTCCAGCGAGGCCTCGGTTGCTGGAGAGACAAGACCATTGTTGTGCCTGAGGATTCCTGGGTTGACTCATGGCTCCAAGAAAAACACCGTTTCTCAGCACAGCATCTGCAGAGCTGTGCTCCGCCTTCGGCCCTCTGCCCTGGCCAGCTTGCTGGCTTTTCTCTTTCCTTAGTTTTTTAAGTTTATTAAGTTTAGGGACAGGAATTAAAACTTGCACACTTTGTAACTGGGATCAGCCCAGTGGAATGCANACTGCTGTGGGGACTCCGGGCCTCCTTGGAGCTCTCCCGGCCTCCCTGCCCTCCCTTAAGCCAGGTGTCTTCAGCCTTGATGATCCCCATGAAATGAGCCCTGGTGGGCATGGGTCTGAATGCATGTTTGGGGTGGGTAGGGGAGAAAAGGGCAATGGTTACAGGGATAAAGAGCGATGGAGGCAGGCTTAATCTCCCCCTCCTGCAGGCTCCTTTCCACTGCACTATTCCCCTGCAACAACCCTGGCCTCTTCCCTGCCCCCCCCCCCCACCGCCAGCAAGACTGTAAAAATTAAAATAATCCTCTCTTCAGAAGAGTTTGAGCTTCTTGAGAGAAAGACATCAGATAAACAGAAAATTATTTTTATGGCCATTATTGTTGTTGATATAAGATTTAATGCTGGGGAATTTGAGAGAATGCTCTCAAACGGATTGTCCTTCTCACAGTAACGCAGCTGCTCAATAGCCACTGCCTCTGCAGCCTTCCTGGATGGAGGCAGTCCTCGCCTGCCCTGGAGGCTTTTGTAGTCTGGTGTCCTTTTCCTCCCTAATCCTCAGGGCAGGGGCATTTAGAGAAGGGATATGCTATGTATGAGCACCTACTGTGTGTCAAGGGCTTTATATGCCATAGGGCTTTATATGCCTTAGGACCTGGCATATACAAATGCGTATCTGTTGAATAGGTGAGTCATAATTAACTTTCACAAAAACTCAGCAACGGCCCTATTATCCTGTTTCTCAGGGACTAAAAGGAGGCGGAGGGGCCTATAGTAACTAGTTAGTGAGCGAACTTGGCTGCAGACCAAGGGGTCCCCTCTCCAAACCAGGAGGTGCTGCGTCTGGTACCCTGCACTGCCTCCCACCTCTCTTCCTCTCTTTTCACCCTTGTGTGACTGACTGCAGTCTCTTAAAAGGCAGGAATGAGTCTCATTCAAAGCTGATACCTCCACAGGCAGCCTAGTGCCGGGCACACAGTAGGACTCATTTACTGTTGGCCTATTCATGAAACCCAATTCAGCGTCATTCCTCGCTGACCCTGACCCTCTCCTCTGTCCCTCTCTGGCAGGGACCCTCCGCCCAGTTCGCCGCAATTACTACGACCCGTCCTCGGCGCCCGGGAAGGGCTTGGTGTGGGAGTGGGAGAACGACAACGGCTCCTGGACGCCCTACGACATGGAAGTGGGCATCACCATCCAGCACGCCTACGAGAAGCAGCACCCCTGGATCGACCTTACTTCCATCGGCTTTAGCTACGTCATTGACTTCAGCACCATGGGCCAGATCAACCGGCAGACCCAGCGCCAGCGCCGCGTCCGCCGGCGTCTGGATCTCATCTACCCCATGGTCACCGGCACCTTGCCTAAGGCCCAGTCCTGGCCGGCCAGCCCCGGGTCGGCCGCCTCGCCCCCCGGCCCGCCCTGCTCCTGCCCACAGTGCATCCTGGTGATGAGCGTCAAGGCGGCCGTGGTCAGCGGGAGCGCCGGGCCCCTGCAACCCCCAGCGGCCCGCAAGAACATGCCCCCATCTGGAGCTGTCAAGATGCCCCCACCGCCAGGCCCTGGGGCCAAGCCACTGGACAGCACGGGCACCGTGCGAGGCCCGATAAAGACCGCCCCATCACAGCCAATCCGGCGACAAGCCTCCAGCACACCGGCAGGGGCCACCGCGGGCTCTCCTGCCAGCCCCTCAGGAGCCAATGGCAAGACGGGAAGGGTGGCCCTGGCGACTTTGAATCGGACCAACCTGCAGCGACTGGCCATCGCCCAGTCCCGGGTGCTGATCGCCTCTGGGTAAGGTGCTTCCGCGGCTGCCTCCCAGCGTTTCCTCATCAGGGGCATAGCACAGGACTGATCTTGCGGTCAGAGACGGAGGAGGGGCTCCCAAGACCAAAGCTCCCCGTCATCTTTCATGCCCCCTGGTTGCATGTGTGGTGGGTGAGGGAAGGTTTGGCCTTTGGGGGCCCACAGCTCTGGGTTCTAATTAAGACTTTCCTTCTGACTAGCCCTGTGATGGGGACAGAGCCCTAACTCCCTCCTGGGTAAATGCTGGCTGTAATACTCAGGTCAGGGGTGCTGTCAAGATGAAAGGAGATCGTGCAGACTCAGTAACAGCAGGCAACGTTTATGGTGCTCCCACCACGTTCTAGTTTGGGGGCTTTATAACCTCATGTAATCCTCACAGCAACTCTGTGAAGTAGGCATTTTGATCTCGTTT